ACAAGTCAATACGACATTGCCGCAATGCTGGCTCAGCAGGAAGGGAAAAAGTTGAGACAGGTCGAGTATATGAGCAAACAGATGTCATAAAAAAAGTTGGCAAAGTCCACCCATGAGAGGGAACTTTATGACCTCTACAAGACACTTGCCCACTTATGAAGGATCTTCTATTTGAGAACTGACCATCAGACCCTCAAGTGGAGCAAGGCACAACCGGTTCTCTTTGATGTACTCGAACGCTGGATTGAAGTCGTAGATCAGTATGGTTTCAAACTAGACTATGTGAAAGGAGAGTACAACAAGGTTGCGGATGCATTGTCTCGTAGGACAGATTACCTAGGTGAGCTGATTTTTGAATTTGACCTTTTTAAGAACATTACTTAGTCCTTGGGGGAAGCCTACAAGAAAAACCCTATCACGATTGACATCATCAACAAACTAGAGGTCAAAGACAAGGCCACCACTGACAAGTTTGTGATGGTGGATGTGTTACTCTTCCTTGAGAAGGCAAGGTTTCAAAGGTTGGTTAGATGTGCTGCATCTTTTTCAGGTAAATTATGAAAAGCACCTAACTTTTCTTGTGTCTCTAGATTCTTAAGCCGTTGTTATTCCATCCAGCGAGATTTTGCGCATAGTTTATTTTCAGGTTCGTGCCGCGATGCAACACGACATTTCGGCTATAAAAAGACTAGTGTTAATTTAGTGCAGCAATTCTAGCGGCCTAACATGCTTGACGATGCAAAAAAGTATGTACAGGCCTGTCAGGTCTGTCAGCTGGACAAGCCGCATACTCAAGCTCCACTTGGGTTATTAATGCCTCTACCCATCCCTGCTGGTCCGGGGCAGAGTATCTCGATGGACTTCATGGATACCCTCGTGGCCAGCAAAAGTGGCAAGATATATTTTCGTCATAGTTGATAGGTTCATTAAATGTGCTAGACTAATTGTCATGCCAGAGACCGCCAGGACTCAACACATCATCAAGTTATTCATGGATAACTGGGCACGTGAATTTGGACTGCCAAAGATGATCGTTAGTGATAGAGATGTGTGTTTCACAAGCGAGATGTGGAAGAAGGCCAGATGGGCAGCCAGCTCCAAATGACTTCTAGGAATCATACCAAACCCCATGGATGACTCACACAAATGAATCGGGTGATGCAACATTTGCTGAGGCATCATACTAAGCCTGACCAGGATGACTGGGATGAGAAATTACCTCTCATTGCGAGTCTGTACAAATAACGATGTACACAACACCGCCAGGGTCACCCCGAATCAGCTGCGTCTGTGTGGAAGCCTAGATCTGCATTAGACTTCCTCCTTACCTGCTGCAACTATTGGAACCATCAAGTTTGGTGTCCAATACGAGAAGTTGTTGCAGCAAGCTGTCGAGAACATCAAGAAGTCTCAGGAGGCAATGATTGCTTCCGAGAAAAAACATCGCTGACAGTCCACATTTCAGGTAGGGGAACGTGTCTGGGTTAAACCTAGTGAACTGGGACAAGGAGTTCGGCAGCTCTAGGTAACTAATGCCTTAGTACTTGGGTACCTGGGAAGTCCTGGATATTGTGGGTAGTGAGATGGATGGTCCCTCGTACGTTATCCGCATCCCTGGCCACTTACGCACTCACCTTGTGTTTCATGCCTCAAAGCTCACTCCTTTCGCCGAGACAGAACAGTTCCCATGAAGGAGATCTACGCTGGCCCCAACCATGGATGGCCACGTGGACGTCGATGATATCCTGGAGCACAGAGACACGCCTGTTCCCAAGCCAGCTGGCAGGGGTAGACAGCCTAAACCTGTAAAGGAGTATAGAGTTCGATTCAGGCATCATACTGACCCGAAGAAAGAGCGGTGATTTACCAGGGAAGAGCTGGTCAAGACAGCTCCTCAGATGTGTATTCACGCTGTTGCAGCCCACCAGTTGGTTGAATGAACACGTGAGCCTCACTAAGTTGCGTCATACAGTTGGCCTATTGGCAGTTACGCCTGGGCACATACACACAAAGCAGGGCCGATACATCATGAAGTGGCCACCGGCCTATGCAAAAGCAGAACTGCCGACGTAACCGGGGTCCTGTGCAAATTCAGCAAACGGCCCAAGTCCGAAGACTCGAGCCGTGCCCAGCTGTAAAGGGCCCAAGCCCTCAACTGCAGTTTCTGACCTGGGCGCAGGAACTGGGGCCCACCGGGAAGCTACTGGAAGCTTCCAGCCAGGCCACACGCAGCATTCAGGAGGCCGCCACTTGCATATAGGAAGAGAGGCAGCCCAAGCCAGGCATTCTGGCCTACGTGGGCAATGCGGTCACGCCGCTGCGCCGCTGCATTGGACGCTGCGCTAAGGCTCATGCGGTGGCGGGGTGTATTGAGGTGAGGAGGTGCGCTGCAGGGCAGCGAAGTGCTGGCAGGCATAGCCGGGCTGCTGAGTGCTAGGGGGTAAGAGGGTAATCAGGTGGTCTTCAAGGAAGGAGGCGATGTGTGGGTCATCAAGGTCTGACGGGGGTGACGAGATACGTACCTGGTGCATGAAGAGAGGTCGGCTATGGTGTTGACATCATGTACATTGGTCTTCGAGAGTCGAAGTGAGCCCGTTGCATGAACACAGCTGTAGGTAGGATAATCCAGTACGGTAGGCTAGGTGTTGGGCGCCAGACAGAGAGGAGCAACTTTGGATACTGTGTTGGTGTGGTCTAAGGGCTTGAGCATTGGCTCATTATTCGTTGTATTGCTCTAATTGGATGGATTCTCGGTGCAATTGTGCTCTCTGCTTGTACACGACTACTTTGACATCTGTGTGATTTCGCAACTTGGTTTTCTGTATATCGTTCACACTCATATTCCTTGCAGAACCCTTCCTCCCAAACTTCTATGGTGAACCCTAGGGACGCCGCACTCTTAACAAACCTAGGACGTGAGAGCAGAAAATTCTAGGCTCAACAAAATAGGTTCCAACACAGTGTGGAGGATGGCTGTGTCTGCACACCAGGTGACCTCATCCTATAGTCACGAACATCAAGCAGTGCAGAAGCAAGCTCAAAGTGAAGAGCAAATGGACTCCTGCCATGGTATTCGCATCATAACATAAAAAGAAAGTGGACTGCTGCAGTATCAGAGGTTTAAAACCACCACTACCCTTCCCAGGCAACTTTGAGAATAAAAAATGTAACATCCCAGGTTCTTCTTCAGAGGCTGGGCACTACAGGACACAAATTGCTGACAGCACCAGCCAAAAGGGAAAAACGAGAAGGAAAAACCGCTGTGCCCATGCTTTGGCACAGCTTGCCACACACTACAAGTCCACCCTGGCAAAAGGAGGTTCAGACATGGCGGTGGTCTGACCCAGCACTACTCTGCCCACATACCCCAGTCACACTCAGCACTACCCTGCCCAAGCTCCCCGCTCGTACTGGGCTTCCCAAATGCCCATGGCAGAGGACAACTCAAATCACCACCTACCAAACCATCATAATCTTTCCCTAATTGTGATGGCTCACCCATCACCTGCCATCACCAACATCAGGTTAATGAGGTCTGTATAAGTTCTACTTTAGAGATCACAGGTTCAAACAACAAACAAACAGTGCCCCAACACTTAAACAAACTGATAGGCCTTACCTCAGCCCTTGTACGAAGTCGACAGATCGAATCATGAAAAAAAGGAGTAGCAGTTGTGCCAGCGTTGTCAACCGTCAAAGGCCGACTCCTGATGGCAGAAAGAGGCTGGGACACGTAGTGGTCATTTTTACCGATGAACTTGGGAAATTCCATTCCCACTTGGGGGCTTGATGGCCTTGGGCTACCAAAGGGAAAAGGCTGGGTGGTGGGGCCGGGCAAAGTGATGGTATTTCTCATCTGTTCTGGTTCGGCAAACCTTGGCGCGTGACAGAAAGAGGCTGGTATTTTTTACCAATGAACTCGTGAAATTCCATTCCCACTTGAGGGCACAGCTGAGCATGGAGTTTATGACTAGCGACATTGGTGCGATTGCTAGTTGTTGCTGTTTTTTTCACGATTTGAACCGTTGACTTCGCATATTTTTGTGGGTTTCGACCCAGTAACTACTGAGCTCTTTCATTAGGACCATTGGTGTTGACGATACTAAGGACTATTACTAAAGTTTTTGAGGATGGTCTCGAACTGTGGTCTGTAGGACTTTACTGATTTTTTCGAGAAAAGGCATTGGACGGTACTACTTGTTGGACAAGTGAAAAACCTTCATCAGGTAGGATACCTACTGTGCGTTAACCTCTTTTAAAAAATGTACGTACTTTTCTTCTAGAGCTTTCCTTTTAGAACTAGACAACCCAATACTTACATAAATAGGTGATGCGCAAACCATTTTATCCGGGGTTGTCATTTGTCATTCACTCTCCTCTTCTCCCTCTCCTGTTCTCCCTCTCCTCTCTCTCTTCTCTCTTCTCTTCTTCTTCAAACTTCCTCCTCTTCTTCCTTCTGTTTTGCCATCTTTGGTGTCCTTGTTCCTGGTTTATTGCTGCTTATTAGCTGTCTGATGACATACAAGGCCGCCAAGCCCCTAGGGATGCGCAGCAATCCACCCCAAACAGCGGAGCAAATAACCTACCTGGGCTGCAGTAGCCGTGGTTTAAGACTCACACATTGTGGGCCACCAACCAGGATGACATCTTTTTTCTTTTACCTGTCTTTTAAACGACGAACAGCCTTGATATATCATCTTTGGAGTTTGAACCAACTGGGCCCATGTAAATTCAGGGTTATTTGATCACATCAGATCTGAACTCAAGTCTCTGTTTCAACGGTTCAACGGTTCAACGGTTCATGGGTGTGCGGACTGAGATAGGGCAGTTGGTGACGACATCAGCCTTGAGATATCATCTTTGAACTGACTGCCCCCTGGTTTGAACTGAGTTACTACTCATTTGACTACAATGGACTTTTAAGTTTGAACTCAAATCTTTGCTTCAATAGTTCATGGATGTACGGACTGAGATAGGGCAGTTGGTGATGACATCCTTTTGCATCAACACTTCTTTCATTCTTTAAGTTCAATCAGGACTCGAGCTCCGGTCCGTATCCGAAAACTTCAAGTGGGTACCAAATTACCAACTGAGCTAGCAGTAACTCGTTTCCTTTTGGGTAGAATTTCATCTTTCCACCGGGGCAGACCTGGACCAGCGACAATGCTGTTCCGCCACCACAGTGGTCGCTCTGTCCTTCTCGCACTATGCATTCATGGTTTGAACAAACACCAGGCTGTTCATGAGTTCGAGGACAGATAGGCAGGGACTCTACACGCCGTCCCCCACGAGGCAAGTCTGACAACCGGCGCCCATAACACATCAGTCTATCGCCAGATCCCTGCAACACGAGTAACCGATTTTATTGATGCTTTGCATGCGCTCGGACTTCTACTTTCTATCCTGTCTGTCTCAGTGTGTATCTATTTTCCCTCCTGCCTGTCCCCGTGTCTGTGTTCTCTTGTCATCGATGATTCATGGCACATCTGTGAGGCCTTAGCACTGCGCAACTTGACGTTCTTGACCGACTCAAGCATTGCTGAGGCATGAAAACCACCAACCCCAGATGACAACACATCATAAACGGGGGTAGGATGAGCAAGTGAGAGGACCGATGACTAAGAGAGAACGCCCATCGGCAGTTCAATCAGACACACCGCACAGACTGCAAGACGATCACCACAAAACAGGATCGCTTGTTCCAGGCTGGCAGTGGTTGCTTCTCTCGTTCAGATTCTCTCGAGCATCCCCCCTGTGTAAACATGACAAAAATTATGGGCAGGGAAGGCTAGGAGGTGGGTACAGAACGATAGTCCAGTTCAAGTTCGTCCCTCTGCCAACAGGCAGCGAGAGACAAGTATCAATTTCCAATGCAACAAGTGAGGATGCCTCTCGAAGTAGCTTGCATTTTAAGACCGGACGAAGCAATGGTTCTTACATCAGTTGTCCTTCTGTTGTTGTTTACCTATTGTTGTTGTCGCAGAATGTCCAAAATACACCTCTTGTAGACAGATCTTCATCATACAGGACCTCTAGAAGAGAGGAATCATCAACGCAATCCGATGTCCATCCTTTGTGCAAAATACAACGGTAATCTGCACAACTCGGATAACAGAACTGCGAAGGACAAGAAGAGAACACCACAAGAAGAAAATCTTTGAATGCCAACCACTTCCTGCAAAGGAGATGAAAAATGGGACAGCTCCGGTCGGTTCCGAATCCAATCTTCCTCACTTCCTAGGAGCACAAGTCGACCACTGTTCGTCTGCATACCCACCGACATCAAGTCCCACTCTTAAATGATCTCCACCACTATTTATCTCGCTCGCAAAGGGCTTGTGACAAACTCATCCACAAGCTTTCGCTCTCCTTCATGCAGACGGTACTCCAATAATAGTCTCCCAGAGACCCACAACGGAATCACACCATCTCTGCAGCTGGAACAAAGAATGGAAACACCTTTCCTTCCCGATAACACTCTCTCTTATCATTCAATACACAAAGACAATACATTCTGACACCTCAAAATGGGGAACCACGGCAAAAGAAACCAAAAAAACACACACATTTCTCGATCCCTCCCTTCAACACTTCACCCTACACTTTTCCTCCTAAATTAGTCCCCTATCCCACGAACATATCGAACCCGTAACCTCCCTCATGCCTCAAACTTCGCCGCCTTCTTTCACTCAAAACTCCCCTCCTCACGTCACTCACAAACCCCCTCTTCTCGTGTTCTACGACTGCCGATCAACCAAGCTGGTTGCATCCAGAATACAAGTGCTGTCAACATACTTATCACATTCCTCCTGATCTCTCTCTCGCCCCCGTTGGCCTCTCCCTCCGCCGCCCTTCCTCTCCCCTTCTCTCTGGCCCTCTCTCAACATAATTCTTGCATGACCACTGCTTCCTTTTCCCTTCCTGCTTGTCTTCACTTCAAGAGTAATACAACTGCCAATCAACCAAAGCTGGTTGCTCAAAAATCAGATCCAATATGTCCTCACCTCTCCAATTTCTCAGCTCCTATCACTTGATCTACCGGACAGCACACATCCCAACACTCCCCACACCAGCATGTGGACATCCCTGACCACAACAACCCCCCAACGATTTTAGATGAGATACAACCCACCTCTCTCTCTCTCTCTCTCTCTCTCACACACACACACACACACACACACACACACAGAGGCGCTTGTGCCCGCAGACGTGGCTGTGCCCCTTTCCCTCCCTCCCCTTTCCTTCATCCACCACCTTGAAACCATGATGCCGTCGCAAACAACTCATCTTCTGGGTGGTTAGGCATCATGAAGAAACTACGCACTCCCCAGAACTGACGAGCTCAGATACAACCCCGAAAAAAGAACAAAAAGAAAGGCAGCATGAAACCTACTGTCAAAAACGACACTTCAAAGCAGAAGAAACAGGAAAAAAGCCCCTGCCCCCTCCCCGTCCTCCCGATGCCACCTGCACCACCTCTCCCGTCTGTGTGCTCAAATTTGCATTCCTGTTTACACACCAGACATCTGATGGATGACACCTCCTTCCAAAATTATCGAGGGACCCATGCTGAGCTGGCCACCAGTCATGTGAACATGTTGGGCCGGCAGTACTGCAACACCCGACACTCGAGGCACAGCCAAAATCCCCGAATGTCAGAAGGTATAGCGGGCAGGAGCTGCAAGGTCGAGATCTTCGCTGCACTAGGACTCCAACGGGCGCACTCATGACAACCATGATGACACCAGAAATCTTTCCAGGCGTTCGGGGCATAAGAGTGCGTGGCTTACAGGGGAGGGACTTTCCAGCAGCACCAGCTTGTCAATGCAGAAGACATGCACTTGCCTGAAGATTGGCTTACAGGGGAGAGGCCTTTCCAGCAGCACCAGCTTGTCAATGGCAGAAGACATGCACTTGCCTGAAGATTGACCTTACCTCCGAGCACCAAACCAGTGGAGTCTGCCAGAGGAACAGCTGGGCCTGCGCCCAAAGGTCGCAGGCATGAAAACTGTGCTGCAGAAGTTTGGAGACGCAGGCAGACATAGGAACCTAATCACATCACAGTGTAGCTGATCTACCCGCAGCAATCAGCAACACCACCTAACACTGCACAACTCCTCCGCCAATTTACAAGGAGTGTTGAAAGAATCAAAACAGGCCTAGAAAAGACGACGACATAAAAGAGATGAGGTATAGCCAAGTCATTGTCTAAACATGAAATGACGGTCCCAGGAAGCCAGATTGCCCAGACACAGACGATATCAGATAAGAGTGTAAGTCATGGAATAAGAAGATCTAGCAAATTGGTGTCAGTTATCAGATAAGAGTGCAAGTCGTGGAATAAGAAGTTCTAGCAAATGGGTGTCAGTAACGGCCATGACGTGGCGAAGTTGTGGGGTAGATTAACAATATATGGCGAGAATGAACAGAAGCAAAATGAGAGAGAGCGGAGGAAGTGGGCATAGGCAGAGGAGTGGGGTCGGGGAAGGGCAGAAGCAGCAATGAGTAGAGAGGCAAGAGAAGCAGAGGACCACAACCATACCTGCCATCCAAAATGTTCTCCATGAATCGAAGGCATAAGGGAGCCTTCATTAATGACGTTCCTTCACCGAACAGGACTTTGCCACTGTCCGCACTTTTGCCTACATTTTGTTGAAGCAATGAGGACCCTATAGCAATTCTCTCTCTGAGAATCGCTCCTGCAACAAAAACAAATATACGCCACTCCCTCAATCAACCCCTCCTGCATGCCATTCACCTGCTACACTCCAGCGAAGTATGGCTACCAGCGGCTGCTTGCTAGCTCTTCACCTCACACCCAACAACGCTTTTCCCGCCCTCGTCGTCGTCTTGATCTGTTTTGCGATCCTCTTCCACTTTCTTCCCCATCTCTTCTTCACAACTACCTTCCGTAGTAAAAAAAGATAAATCTTCGACGAACGCATTGCAGAAAAAGCATCTCTTGTTGTTCAGAAGATGCCGAGAGATGCAGCGTCTACAACTCCTGTGCTTGCACGGAAGAAAAATTGTGTCAATATCCATCCAGCAGCAGATTGTGCACACTTCCACTTCTTCGCCTTCCAACGGACCAAGTGCTTGCAGTCGCTTGTTCCGCCATTCTCTCCTTTCCTCTTCTTTTGTGGCCTGGTGTTTCAGTTCTTCAATCTCTAATTTGAGCCTCTTTGCAAAAAGCTTCAACTCCGGCAGCCGCTTGAGAGAGGAATCATCTGGAAAAGCCTCTGTCTGTTGAATCGAAGACATTACATACATCAACACCATATTAACAAACTGTTCATGCCCAACAGAAGGAAAAATGTGCTGGGTAGCAACATTCCGCATTACTGAGACAACATATCCGGCCAATGAAACAGAACACACCACCAACAAGCACTACCTCGTTCTCAACAACATCCGCTGCTGCTGATAAAAAAAACGGTAGCACTCTGGAAATTGACTATGTAATTATAATAGCAAACAAGGATTACCATCAGTGGCTCGACAGGAATAGATTCGACAAACAAAGGACACACGATGTCACACATCCAATATACCCTCATCGCTTGGTCTATCATGCCAATCTAAAAAACGATAAATTGCACACTGCCCCAGTCATGGGGTATCTTGCCACTCACCCAATTATACTGGAGGAGATAGTCAAAGTGTTCAAGACAACTCCCAGAGACATCAGCAGCAGCAAGGGCCCGGGCAATGCAGAGAGGGTATCCGGCCCTTGGCTTGAAAGAGCTAGCCGAAGCAAGATTCAGCACAATCCCGACCAAAGGTGCAAGCATATGTGCTGGATTGACCTTTTCCATGGAGGACACACCAACCATCAAGGACCTGGAAACAGCAGAAAGAGAGACAACATCAGCAAGGCAACCGACACTGCAGCCACACCCTATACAGCACATCGAATACGAGCTCAAAGCAAGTCAGCCTCTTTTTCAGACATCCATACCGCACAGACTTTCTCAGAGTTCTCTCATAAAATTTCCCTCAGCAATGTATCTGCAAGGAAAATGAGCGATAGCAAATTCCGGAAACCAAGCAGCATCATACACGTAACCAGATATCGTAACCTCAAACCAAAAGCAGAATTGCAACACGAGTTCCACCAAATAAGAGCACAGCAAAAGCTCACATGTGACAATGTTAGAATAGTCTCATCACCATCAACTAAGAACCAATGTCGACATCCTATCTGCCGCTCTGCGCCCAGACTACAAATGGCAGATCCTATCTAGCCTATCTACAATGCCGCTGGTGACGTCAACAGCTCCCCGAAGTACGAGCAGATTTCGACCAATGCCGTTCGCCTCAAGCACCAGGTATGTCTCTCGCATCACTCACAACCTCGATCCCCCACTCACAGATGCCACATGCACCCAAGTACCACCATGCGGCCCATCCAGCATAGCGCAGCGCAGCTCGGCTATGGCTGCCTGCTCTTCCTGCTCGCCCTGGCCAGCGTTTAGCGCAGCAGCGCTTGCGGAGCATGCAGCCAGTGCCCGAATGCCAAATGCCGGGGCAGGCACTTTCCTAAATGGAAGTGGCCTGCCTGCTGCGTGTGGCCTGGCTGCACTGGGCCCTGCCCAGAAGCTTCCGGTAGGCCCCGAGAGGCTGAGCCCCGGTCCAAACAAATCAGGCCCAGGGCCTGTGACGGTTGTCTGTGTCCAACTGCCCGCCGCTTGTGTTCGGCCCATGATGTGTGTCTGGCCCAGGGCCTGCCTTGGTAACGTACGAAAAGGCAGCCAGGGCCTGGGCGCTCTCAACCAACTGGCGCTGCGCAACTACCTGAATTTCCCCAGTTGCGTGGTAGCCGAAAAATAGGCCTCTTGGCCTTGGTCGGGCCTGCCTTCCCTTAGGGCTGCCGACAGTGCTGCTTACAGGGCCAAAAAGGGCCTCGTCGGGGCCTTATGCCTTGCATACCCCCCCAGCATCAGCACAAGCCTAGGGATCTCATGCCCATGGTGCGCACTGATGTCTGAGCAATAACAATTGACGGTCGTGTTCCCATGACTGCAAGTCACAGCCTTGCCAACTGGTGCTCTCAGTTTGTGCATACCCCTGTGGTCCTGTAGTTCATTATGCCCACATTCATAGTCTTGCAAACTGCTGCTCTCTCAGTTTGTGCATACCCCTGTGCTCCTGTAGTTCATTATCCCCACATTCGCAGGTGCAATATTCAGTATTCAGAGTTCTGCCCCCTGCAATTCCAGGACCCCTCCTCTCTGTTCTCCTTTCCAAGCACAAGATGCTTCTATTCCTGCTTTTTCCATGCTTCTGCTGGTGCTATCATTTCCAGCTCACTTCAGTCATAAATTGCCTTCAACGCACTGCCTCTCCGTCCAACAGATCATGGCGCGGGTGGAGCTGCCTCTGTGACATGCTGAGGCAAGCAAGGCCCTCCAGTGGACTGTGAGCAAGGCCATAAGCAGCTCCCCCAGATGCGCACCCGGTTCCCAAACTGCCCAGAATATCCGCTGAGCAAAACAAAAGCTGACCCACTCAAGAGTCTTAGCACCAGAGAGTCTGCCCCATCTCTCTTAGGAGATGAGCCTACAACCTCCTCGAAGTCGCATGCACAGCCGCTCCCTAGCATCCTGTTCTACAATCACCGCACCTCCATTCTCTGCTCCTCACTCCCCACATCCTCTTCTCATTTCCTTACCCAAATCGTTTCTCTCCTCCTGTAGAATCTCAATGTTCGCTCGCCATTACACAGAGATTACGAGGAAGCCAAGATGCACAAACTGTCTGATAGGATCAGTTTAGTTATTATAATACACAATATGGAAAATTAACAATTTTTGATGAAAAAATAAAAATTTCCTATTGTTGAATTATTTACAATTTTGAATACAGTATTAATTATTTACATTATCAATATTTAACTTAAAAAGTGTCAGGTGAACAATCCTCACGTCACACCGCCCATTGCAATTGC